GCGTCTTCGTAGCTCTGGCCGACTGGGCTGGCTCTACGTCACCTCCTGTCAGCCGACGGTCTTCGACGACAGCGCAGCTCTGACCTACTGGACCTGCTCTACGCCATCTACAGACGCCGACAACATCTCTCGCAAGTGTACCCCGTCCTCGGACTCCAGTGAACGTGCTTCCATCTTTCCTGTCTCTCCTATCCCCTCAGTTTGCTGTTGCTTCTTCTTCCTCTTTTCTATACCTTTATTTCTACCCTTTTATCCCTCCTCACCCCCATTCCTTGTGAGCTCTGTGGCGGTGTCGCTCCTGAAGCAGACAATAACGGGGCTCACTTTTCTCTTCCTTTCTCTATCTTAAGAACCACTCGCATGGTGAATGACCAGGCCGTACCCTAATCGCAGCTTTTAGATACGAAGCAGCTTTCTGACTAGCATCTCTAATGCTGTCCCTCCATGCGTCTGTACGAACGTGCCACAATGCGCTCCTCTCCGCGCAAGAGTTGGAACGATGCCAAGTAGGTCACACCACAGCTGCAGGTTCACTGCCACGTTCTGTTTGCAGTGCGCACTCATGTCCCTCTCCCTCGCCAGCCGCACGCTCGCCGCAGCGCCCGCAGCTGCCGCCTTTTCCGTTCGTCCGCAACACTTGCCGGTACCGCCGCTCGCTCCGCTACCACGACAGCCGCTCGCTATACCGCTGACAGGTCGGTTGACGCGTAGTAAACTGGACGCGCGCCTACCATACCCGTTAAAGCATGTCTGTACGCGCCAGCTCTCTCTCGCTTCACCCTCTCCACAACTCACAACGCACGAGAGCACATCGAGTGAAAACACTCGGCTCGTTTATCAGCGATGGAAAGAAACATCGCTTGAAATTTTTCAGTGCTCACCGCAGTATCTGCATTAGCACCATGCAACCCGTGACGTCACCCATGCCCGACGCCGCTACTTCGTATCACATCAAGGTTCTCTTTCGTACCTTGATGAGACACATGCTTGGGCTACTTGGTGTTTGGTAACCAACATATTTGCACAGTGTAAGACTACGAGCAGTTACGGCGTAACTACGGAAAAAGAGACAAGGACAGAACAGAGCGCTAACTACAACTTAAATTTTATTAGAGAAACGCTAGAAATATATACTCTTGACAAAAAGCACCACGTCACAGCGCAAGAGAGGCCAGCTTCGTTGGTATTCATTGTTGGGATTGTGGTTGCAGACTAGAATTTGAAAAGTGCACGTTGTCGCAAAACACCGTCAGCAGCTAACACGTGAAATTATTGAGGCCAATCACATGCTAATGCTGGGTGATCTACATATCAGCATGCCTTCGGTTGCACTCGCCAAAAATGAAATCGAGTATCTGGCATTGACGCAATAGATTGTGAGTTTGCGCTGAGGTGTTGTTGTACACACTTGAGGAGTTATTGATTGTCTGGCTGTGACTTGATAAGTTGTGCGGTTGTGTTGCGAATTGTTAATTTCTGCCACGAGTATATATTTTCTACGTTTCACTAATAAAGTTTTAGTTAAAGTGAGCGCTTTTTCTGTCCTCTCTTCTTCCGTAGTTACGCAGTAACTACTCGTAGACTTGCGCCGTGCGCTGTACAAATATGATTCCCTTTGAAAAGATGGTGTGAATTTGATCGGAATGCGGGGCTAGAAGTGATAGCTTCTGCGGCGTCGAGCCACGTCGAAGCCAGGCTATTCCGTTCTAGTGGCTCGCATACCACGAAATAAGCCGCTCTCTTCTTCTTTTGCCGCGTCTACCGCAGAGCTACATAGGGCCCTCTTCTAGTAGCGTGATTGACAAAAATGTATGCAAAAGAGAAGCTCAGCGAGCAAATACTATGTACTTGTACAACAGTCCAATAACAAGTCCGGAGAGAGTTTGGGTCAGCTGACCGGCGAAATCGAATGTGCAAAGCGTCGAGCCTGATATTCGGGAATAGGAAGGCGTAATCCATGTACCGCGTAGAACCCCACGGTCAGATGTGCGCTTCCAATATGAGGACGGGGAGTTAAGTACTGGGGATTCAACTTTGCTTACAGATGACTTCTGCCACTGCGCTGAGGGCACTGCCCTGAGTTGCCTGGGCCTAGGTATTCAGTGTGACCAAACTCTGCGAGGACCCTCCATAGCAGTGCGCGCCAGCTCAGGCCTGTATATCTTTTCTGCAGGCCTGATCTGGCACTACAGCCGATCAGTGGGCAGTGCGATGAATGCACACGATGCTGACGACAGCGTTTGAAGGACCGTGGCAGGTCTCGCTACAGCTGGAACGGAGAAGCCAGTAAAACTGGTCCAGGGATAGAAGCCCATCAACAGGCTATCGTTCTGACCAGTGAATTGGCACGTTTTAGACGGTCCAGGATCCACGTCTGTGTCGTGTAAAGAGCACCGAACACTGCCGCCGAACTGATCAGTGCTGCCCTCCCAGGAGTCAGTCAGCAAGTTTGTAGGCTTCGAAGTCTAGTGGCGAGAGTAATTACATCATGTCGCCGTACCAAGCGCCTTGACATCATCGACAGGCTAGCGCCGCAGCTCCTTGTTGGGGGAAACACCCTTGTAGTCTTGACGGCAGGTGGTAGGGCCCGAACCTCACACCTACAGCCCGTTTTTGTGTGGAGGATGGTCGGGTGGCATAGATGGCGATTTCTCGGGAATCCGTGGGCAAGCACCATGTGAGGCGTTCTCTACAACAGATTTGAGTGATGCGGAGTTGTAGCCAGCGTCCAGCCTGCGTTGTCACAGTAGTTGCGGGTCTTAACGAGGGGGAAAACGCATGGGTGGCCTTTGTGCGCTCCGGAATTGCATGCTATGCTGTTAGAGGGTATGGGGAGATAGACGCTGCATTTTTTAAGACAAAACAGGATAGCGTCACTGAATCGATGAACTACGGCTTCCTCATTGTGTTGTGTGGGCTTGAGATGGTAGGCGCTTGAGACGCACGGTGAGGTATAGACTTGGTTGAGATGGTCGGTGACGACAGGTAACTCAAAGTACGGTATGCTTTAGGTGCTGAGAGGGCATTGTCTAGCGCCTTAAAAGTGGAGAATGGCGTTAAGTAGTTTGCCGTAGGAGCGCCGGCCCATCGAGACGTTTGGGAGCATTTGAGGTAAGTTATAAAAACGTACTTAAGCATTTCCAGCATAAATTACGAGAGCCAGGTGTTGTTGAGCACTAGCGCAACCTCGAGTTCCACGAAGCATCATTGATGGAGACCGCGCGGGTCAGTGGCATCGATGGGTCCAATTGTGGCGGCCAGACTTTGGCTGCCTCTACTAATATTGAATAAAGAGCCGCTCGGTAATAGCGGTGAAGCGCAGGTAGCTGGTTCTAGCGTCCTTTATCACCAAATTTTGTCCAGAAAGACAAGGTAGTGGCTGGTGAGGCCTTGCTGTTGGCACAGCTTTATCAGGACACGGGCGTATAAGCGATAGCTGTATCGACGTCCAGTCAGGGGAACAGCTGGGTTATTTTCTAGTGACACACATTTCGAGTGTACGTGGTTCTCTTCCTTTGCCACGTCTGCCACGGCGCTAGCACTTCATAAGCAAAGTGAAGAGTGTCTCGGTGGCCGCCGACAAAGTACTGGTTCGTTTCGACGTCTGCTTCGTCTTGGCAAGTGTTCAGCGGCTTTGCTGTCGACTCCTTCAGACAGTTGTTTCACAAGGACACAACTTTGGCGTATAACACAGTTTGACGACACTAAGTACTGCACCTAGTTACAGTTTTACCTGCTCAACACATACTTCTTGACAAGGGTGAATTTTATATGCCTGCTTTTGGTACCGCATTGGGAGCACCTTTATCAGTCATAATGTTAGTATCACAATAGAAGCAATTTAACTCAAGGCATTACAAGCATTTCCAGCGAAACCCAAGGTCTTTCTCAGATACGTCGATGATTTCTTCTGTGTGAAAAAGAAGAAAGACGTTCAACCATTTTTAACTGCCCAAATGGCAGCAATCCTTCCATTAAATTACTGTGGAAAAATAGAAACCCGTTCTTCTTCATTTCTTGTACTCAATTGTAAAGCATGCTTCCACGGGCGTCACCTTCACTGTGTACCGAAAGCCAAGGCACTCAAGTAGATACCTCGACCGTGAGTCAGTTCATCGCGTAGGCGACAAACACTCAGCAAAGTTTAATGATTCGGTCTTTAATTGAATGAGCCATTCGCACCAGCTCCACTGCAACAAGCCTGCTCGAGAGGGTCTGTACCACTGAAAATGAGTTCACCAGCATTATACACCGCCAGAATTTTATTATAAAATAACTAAACACGCCATACATAACCAAGAGCCAAACAGTCAAGCCGCGCATAATACAGCATTTCCGCACCTGCGCGCAGTGATACCATACATTTGAGAAGTAAGCGAAGTCCTAGCCCACTTGTTTAGAAAATGCAGTGTGCAGATCGGGCTTCTGCCAGCATGACTTGCTAAATGTGAAAGGTTATATGCCAAGGCAACATTCTCTGGTGTGATGTGCAAGACCCCATACGCCGATTGCGAATCGGCTTACATTAACGAAAATGAAAATTTCCGCAGACGTCTGAAGCTGCAGAAGAATGATGTTGCCCATGACCACAAAGTGACATATTTACGGAGAGAGCATGCCGAGAATACAAGCCAAAAGATCAGCTGGGACCGAAGTATGATAGCCTCGGAGAATAATTTGACAAGACTGAAAATGAAATCACTAATTATGCAAACAAGCACCCACACAATCAATAGAGCATCTTCTACGCCAAACCATGTGTACTCTTAAGCAATGCGTCATTCGTTCAACGCTTCAAACCTGATATTCAGCTGTCATTTTATTGTCAACAACAAGTCCGAATTGATAGCGAAAAGACACTTTGTTTTGTCTTGAGATTACGTAGTGACCTGTTTTTTCTACATATGGACTCTAATATGAGGCATATTTTAAAGCGGTCGATAAGTCAAGTTTACAGCGAGACTTCGTCACAGTTGCTCCCGATTCTAAACATTACTTACGACACTTTTCGTGGACATCTCCATTTTCATCAACCAGACACCATTTTTCTTTTCCTGTGCAAGTTTTTTCGCCACCTCCTTCGCATGGTCTTTTAGCTGAAGAAAAGCAAATGAAGAAGCATGCATATCAGTGGAAAAGGAAGATCTTTTGGGGGGAACAGATGCGCTGTCAAACTCTACATTCTATAGTGTCGACTAGTGAAGGTAAAATAATGCGCAAGTTATTTTGTGAACAACATGAGTTACAGCATCGCACTGAGTCTTGCTTACAAAGCTGCCTGCGGCACATGAACCAATGTTTTCTTGAAGGTGACATGTAATGGCATCATTATGCGTTTTAGTGGTATCCGTGTTTTTGTAAGTAAGAAGGTAAATATCAAGTGCTGTAGAACACACACGGTTGGTTATGCAAAACATTACACCATTGAATGCAACCTGCACATAGAAATTGAAGAAATTTAGGGGACCTAGTGGCAGGAAAGGGTGAATGAAAGAAACACAAGAAGTGACACTGACGTACGCGTTGTTCATCCGTGTCACTTCTTGTGTTCGTCTCATAGGTGTCTTTTCCTCTTCTGTTAGAGCGCACCAACTAACTGAACAAAACGTTCTGCTGGAAAAGAACTTTATGCTTTGTTCTATGCCCATTTTCAGAGCGCCGCTCTTTGGCACCCGTTGCAGCGTTGAGTGGCGTCGACGTCACCAATGCTGTTGCCGTCCGTGGCGTAAACAATAGACATGAAAAAGTTGCCAATGGACGTGAAAAAATGATGTGATCAAAATGATGTGATCACAGCATTGATGTGATCAATGATGTGATCAAATGATGTGATCAAATGATGTGATTTTGATGTGATCAAAAATTCTGATGTGATCAGAATTCCCATGATGCCGACACTCAAATGAAATGTTAATGCGGGTCTTCTGCAGTAAGATTCGTGCGAATGTATTTGGAAAAACAGAATTCTTAAAAAACACCCTCTCTGAGGCGCCAGTGGCCTGCTCCTAAGGGACTTAATAAAGTTCTTTTTCGAGCTGCCTGCTTCATGCTTATTACTTTTGTGTGTTGGCTTCCATCTGAAATTTTATTTTTGTCACTACAGACTGCGACCCTTTTATTTATTTTTATGACCCCTTTACTTCATATATCGGTTACAGCAATCCGACATTTACGGGATTTGAGATTTGTTAAAAGTGCTCTCGATAGTTTCAAATGGTCGTACTGTTTGAGATAAAAAAAGACGTTTACAGCTTATATGTCCTACCTTAATGAGTGCTGTCAGGCTGTCACCTTGTGCGACAAGAGACGCAGCTACCGACCTGTTCTTGCAATTTCCTTTTTTCAAATGCCATACTTTATGCAAATAAATATGAAAGTGGTCACCTGGCTAAGTAGAATGTCGGTAAAGTTAAGATGAAGTCACTTTGAGTTTCAGTATGTTTCGCACAATAGATAGATGGCATCCCTTTTTCTCACAATAGATAGACGGCAATCCACTGGTGCTGTCCCTGTGTCACACATGACTCTTGGACCAATGTTCCACACGAGATTGGAACGTTTGCACAATGAGCACTTGAGCGCCCGCTACAAGCCAGAATCTAGCACCTACATTAAAAAAACTTTGTTGACGCCCAGATGTTAATTATGGCTGAAACACAAGGACTACACAAAAAAGCCTAAAAAGAGACGAAATCAGCAGGCTGCAGTCGAATTGAGCACATCTGCCTACTGTAAATTCTAACTCTGACACATTGCTGATACGTCACACTTGAAAAGTGGGAGTTTCTTTTTTGTATAGCCATGTCCCGTTGCCAGTACTTTCAGTATTGTTATAGGAATGCTGATTGTAATCTCATTATATCCATGACGGTTCAACAAAAATAATGAATTGGATTTTTTATGTGCTGTCATGAAACAGAACGTCTATATGACATGTTTTGCCAGTAAATATATTAGCGTAACGACAAATGTCTTCCCGCAACCACATTGACTTGCTAATTGGTTACTTTCACGCATGTAGAATACATCATGTATCTGAGCTGCTCTCTGAACACATAAGTTTTCGTCAACCATTATTATGTACTTCTGTGCCTCCCACGTACTATACAGTCTCAGTAGCTCACTCTAACCACTCTGAACTTCAGGCTAAGAGCTGTACTCCATCTGCCGTGATGACTGTCAAACCGTGGCGTTGCCAGGGGGTGGCACACTACGCCCGTGCCACCCTCCCCCTCAATTTTTTGCCATGGCATACGGAGTACAAATTGGCCATTTGCTTTCCGGGCCCTCATTTCAGATGAAAGAGATGCGCCCCGCGAAAAAGTAATCTGCTTACGCACCTGCTGTGAATATTTCGAACGTTCTATAACAACAAATTTGTAACTTTTGTGACATGGTTTGGAGCATAACTGACTCAAGCGAGGACTTGCTTTCATATTCGACAACACAGGCATATGAAACATGCAGGAGCTAAAAGGACGACATTTAGCGTCACAGCGGCTAATTGCGACCGGTGAGCCTCTGTATTCAGTGGTCTAAGAGCCCATATGGAAACACTGAATGCTAGTGTGGTTTATCTTGATTACCACAGAAATACCAGTGTGGTATTGTGTTGCGAATTATAGGTTGTTTCGAAGCAGCTATATGACATACATTTGCGACACTCGATCTCACACTCAAAGAGAAGCGCATGCGCGAGCACTAGACAACAGTATCCTGTATGTCCAGATGCACCCACTGGTAGAGTAACACCTTATTGCACTGCAGGTTCGTATCTCTCTATCTCACGAAAACATAATAGCTTATATTTGCATAAGACTACTGGTTGTTAAAAGTTTTCACTCCTCTTGATTACTAGGGATGTTCATCCAGACTGTTTTACTAACTGGTTGCTGTTACAAGCCAAGCAATAATATTGGCGTGCATTCGAGTATTCCATTTAAGAGTGGGCGGTACTGTACGTCTGTTGACTAACCAAACCCAAAGGTGGATGTGTAAAACGAAGACAGCAATAGCATTTTCAAAGTATCCGAAAACGTTTAGGCTCAGATATGATTGATATGTGGAGTTTAACGTCCCAAAACCACTATATGATTATGAGAGACGCCGTAGTGGAGGGCTCCGGAAATTTAGACCACCTGGGGTTCTTTAACGTGCACCCAAATCTGAGCACACGGGCCTACAACATTTCCGCCTCCATCGGAAATGCAGCCGCCGCAGCCGGGATACGAACCCGCGCCCTGCGGGTCAGCAGCCGAGTACCTTAGCCACTAGACCACCGCGGCGGGGCCGTTTAGGCTCAGCATCACGAGATGTCATATTCATTCCTAAGTCTACCCAGTGTGTCCACTTTTTGTTGTTGTTGTTGTTGTTGTTGTTGTTGTTGTTGTTGTTGTTGTTGTTGTTGTTGTTGTTGTTCAATGTGCCGCCAGTGTTCGCAGTGTGTTGGCAGACATTGTACAGCGTAGACAGCGCCTCCCAGTGTCCTGTAAGACGTCGGGTCACGCTCTCCCTTAATCACAGTGCCTTTCAGGATACTTCACGGGTGCGGCCACACTCTCCACTCTGTCAAAACGCACTCTAGTTCACTGGGACACACTATGCAGCGTTTCCAGGGCCACCCAGGGTGCTCAAGAACACCGAGCACGCTATTTTTTTATATAGGAATGCACAAGATGGGGTGACAAAAACGGCATAAAAGATACGTCAGCAGTTGCTTCACTAGTCCCTCGCATGTCAATCATAGTATGAATAACCAGAGAATATAGTAAAAAAGAACGTGTAGCCAAAATTTCTTTTTGTGTGAAGTTTAGAACAAAGCATGATGCATCGCTGATCCAAAAGGACACTTTGTATGCTCATTCTAATTGAGTCAGAGGAATAAAACGTCTGTAGCTTTAGGCGCCCAACCAAATGATGGGGCGTGGATGTGGAATATGATCAGTCTAGACTCAAAATATTTTTGTAAAATAAGAATTCTCAACTATACCTAATTCATCATGAAACTTCAAAATGCCAGACATTAGTAAGATGCACCTTTAGGCAAATGTTTGAAAGAACGTGAACTTGGCATGTTGGTAACCTCATGTATCGCAGCGCCGACGTCATACGTCTGTCTTCAGACTTTTTCTGTGCATTAAACGATGAGTAAACGATTCTATTGAAGGACATTGACTCAGTAACTGAACCTGATGTAGCTACTGCACTTGTCCCAGTATGGCTTCCTGCACGCTTAAACTGTCTTAGCTTTGTGTGATGGAGCCATTGTGACCACTCCAAAGCTTGTGTTTTAGTTGAATGAAGCTTTAAATGTATGTTTCTTCTTCGAAAGTATGCAGACAGTGCGAGGACCCTTAGCCCTAGCCTAGTATGGGTTGAAAACAACAACCATTGATAAAGGCACTTCAGTAAAGAGCAACAGCATAACATTATGTAAGGTACAATATAAAGAACCTATCAAAACAATAAAGCAGATCAAATAACCGCACAAAAGAGTAACCACAAAAAATAAAAGGAGCTTCTATACACAGCCGTCAGCGATTTTAACTTGAACGCTCCGGCGTGTGGCCTCAGCTTGTTTGAACTGAGGTCAACGCCACGAAGCGTTGAATATGATATGCTTGCTGCAGTAGGGATGGATGTAGCACGCGTCGGTTTCACTAGAACATTTCAGTTTCCAGTCTGCCTGACCGGTGGGTCGAATGTACCCACTTCGCATCTCGTTTTCGCCACGCTTTGCTCGTGGCTACGTTATCCCACACCCATGGCAATCGTTGAAGCACGAAAGGTGCGTAAGCTGTCGCACGCAATGGTTCATTCTCGAGATGAGTATCAGACGACGAACGCCGGAGGCGCGAGCGATAACATAGCCACGACCGATACGTGGCAAAAACAAGATGCAAAGTGAGTGCATTCGACCCACCGGTCAGGCCGACTGTAAACTGAAATTTACTAGTGAGACCAAAGCGCGCTACATCTATCCTTAAAGAGACACTAAAGTCACTTATTCGGTCGGTGTTTATTGTTGAAATGGCGGCCCAGAAACCTCGTGGTGTTACTTTTGTGCCAAGGAAGAGCATATTTTGACATAAAATCA